TTAAAATTGATCACTGAGGAAGGTTTTCTTATCTCTCCCTGCTATTCTTTGGAACTCTGCATTCAAATGGGTATATCTTTCCTTTTCTCCTTTGCTTTTAGCTTCTCTTCTTTCCTTAGCTATTTGTAAGTCCTCCTCAGGCAACTATTTTGCCTTTTTGCATTTCTTTTTCTTGGAGATGGTCTTGATGACTGCCTCCTATGTCATCACAATGCTGACATTGTGATCTCACGAACCTCTGTTCATAGTTCTTCAGGCACTCAGTCTATCAGATCTAATCCCTTGAATCTATTTCTCATTTCCACTGTATAATCATAAGGGATTTGATTTAGGTCATACCTGAATGGTGTAGTGGTTTTTGCTGCTTTCTTCAACTTAAGCCTGAATTTGGCAATAAGGAGTTCATGATCTGAGCCACAGTCAGCTGCCAGTCTTGTTTTGGCTGTCTGTAATCACAATCACAGAAAACTAACCAAACTGATTACATGGACCACAGCCTTGTCCAACTCAGTGAAACTAAGCCATGCTGTGTGGGGCCACCCAAGACAGACAGATGGGTCATGGTGGAGAGTTCTGACAAAACGTGGTCCACTGGAGAAGGGAATGGCAAACCGCTTCAGTATTCTTGCCTTGAGAACCCCATGAACAGTATGAAAAGGCAAAAAGATACGACACTGAAAGATGAACTCCGCAGGTAGTAGGTGCCCAATATGCTACTGGAGATCAGTGGAGAAATAGCTCCAGAAAAAACAGAGATGGAGCCAAAGCGAAAACAACACTCAGTTGTGAATGTGACTGGTGATGAGAACTGGGGGGCTCCCTTCGTCCAGCTCCCCAAGAGGGGGCTCCCTGCATCCAGCTCACTGCGGGGGGGTTCCCTGAGTCCAGCTCACTGCGGGGGGGCTCCCTGCGTCCAGTTCACCAAGAGGGGGCTCCCTGCATCCAGCTCACTGCAGGGGGCTCCCTGAGTCCAGCTCACTAGAGAAGAGGTGGACCCTGGCTCTGGGGCCCCCATCAGGGCTCAGGCACCTCCTTGTGGTCCCAGGGCTGAACCAGGTGCTGAGTCAGGGACGGGATCCGCTGCTGAGCGTCGGCCTGCTCTCAAGTGTCTGCAATAATTACCCTCTTAGTGCCAGGCTATTTCTCTCTCCGGCTGGAGGATGGTTGGGGGCAGAGTCCAGAAATAGCAGAAGCAGTTAGTGGTGAGCTTCTCAGGGCATAGTGGCTCTGTGAGGACTGGGGCCTGACCAGGCCATCCTCAGCCCCGTCTCTGGGTCGGGGAGGTGGGGTGTCACCTCCTGAACCCTCACCTGGCTTTGCAAGGCCACCAGCTCTGGGGGGCCTCCTCCCTGAGTCCTCTAGGACCCAGCAGCCCCCGGTGGGCTGAGGGGCTCTCGCAGGGCACAGAAGCCATGACTCCGGGTGGGCTGGGGGCCTGGGGGGCTGGAGGGCATGTCACGCCCTCACCTGCAGCCCCGCAGCTCCAGCAGCACAGCCCGGGGGCAAGGTCTGGAAAGCAGGTCTGCAGATGGGGTTAAGCCTGGCGGTTCACCCCTAAGCTCCGTGAGCTGGGCTGAGTCACAGCCCCTCTGAGAGTCCTTCTCCTTTGCTGTGCGGTCAGCGGCCTGAACGTCAGCATGAGTGGGCACAGGCCGGGTGGCCCTGCGGGAAAAGCCCAGACTGGCACAGTGGCCCGCGGGCTCGGAGGGAGTCCCCTGGCTGTGGCATCTGCAGGGGCTTCGGATGGCAGGAGAGCCACCCTGGAGACACGTCCGCCCACGAGGCTGTGCTCACGAGGGCCGGCCGGGTCTCCACCCGCAGAGACCTCCTCTGGCCCCTGCCCTTGTCCCGAGCCCGGGGCCTGTTTGCTGCTCCTATAGGTTCGGGGCTAGCAGGCCCGAGGCGGAAGTCCACCATCAGCCCTCAGGCAGCAGCTCGGGCCAGGCAGAGGCAAGGAAGGAGACCACCAGAGCCTTACCCTCTCTGCCCCCTCCCTGCCTACTCTGGCCCCGAAGAGCCGCTAGAGAGAGCCGGGATTGGTGCGGTGCAGCGTGAACCCACAGGAGCCCCTGGGGACTGAGTGATGGGGGGGTGAACTGGGGGGCTTCCTGGAGGCAGCGTGAGCCCACAGGAGCCAGAATGGACCCAGCAATGTGGGGGGGCAGGCTGTGAAACAGGGGGCTTCCTGCGGCAGGTGCTGCCAGCCAGCCAGCCCAGGGCCCCAGCTCCCACCACGCTGCATCCAATGCCCTGTGCTCCAAACCTAGCCCCCCTCTTGCTTCTGAGCCTGGAGGGTAAGTGTGTGCCAGCCTGCTTTGCCCCTGGTTCCCAGCTTTACCCACTCTTCCCTCCCCCAGGGGCGGAGGTCAGGGGCAGCAGTCGGGGGGCTCTGCCAGGCACAGCTGTGGGCTCAGGCCAGCCCCTGGTCTGTCCAAGCCCCAGTCTCCGTACAGAGGCAGGGTCCCCGACTGTCACAGCCCCGGTCCGTCTGATCTGGGGCTCCCGGGGTGCCTGGGCCCTCTTCCTAGGCAGTGCTATGCTTTCCTCTCCGGTTTAGGGGAGGGGTGGGGGGTTAGGGTGGGGATTAAAGGGAGTGCGGGGCGGGGGGCTGGCAGCTCGGAGCTACACAGGTCTGTGTGGGGACCACAGGGTTCCGGCGTGGGCCCCTCCCCACCCAGGCCCAGGGCGGGCGGCCCTCGGGCTCCCTCTGAAGGGAGAGCTGCCCCTGTCTGACCCTGAGCCTCTGGTTCCCACGCCTCTGGGCACCAGGCTCCTGGGACGGAAGGAGAGCGGGCAGCCGTGACGGTAGGGCTGGGCCGCCTCCTTCAGCCGCGAGGCTGGTTCGGAGCCAGAAGCCAAGGGAGGCGCTGTGTGCTGGGCTGGCTTCTCCCCATGAGTGGCTGCACAGGCTGGCTTCTCAGAGGCCCGAGCTCTGCCCCTCAGTCGGAGGGCAAGTGGCTGAGACCTCGACACAGAAGCTGGGGGCCGACACCTGCCCGCCCCTCCCCGAGGACCAGGCCAGGTGGGGGCTGCTGAGACCACCCGCGGGCACCGGCCGCTCCAGGCAGCTGGGCCCCAGAGCGCCGAGCTCGGGCAGGGGGCAGGTGCCCAAGACAGTGCCCCCGGCCCCCAGTGGGGAGCAGGCTTTCCTGGGAGCCCCCAGGAGACAGAACCGGAGACAGCTGTCAGAGACTCAGGGAGACAGATACTGAGGCTTTGTGTTGAGTCAGTTGCTCAGTCGGGTCCGACTCTGCGATGCTATGGACTGCAGTTGCCAGGCTCCTCTGCGCATAGGATTCTCCAGGCAAAGATACTGGGGTGGGTAGCCATTCCCATCTTCCCCACCCAGGGACCAAACCCAGGTCTCCCGTGTTCCAGGCAGACTCTACCGTCTGAGCCAGCAGGAAGCTGTGCCCGCGGGAAGCAGTTCCCATGGCGGCCTTGAGAGGAGGCCTGCCCCCAGACTCTGCCCCCAGGGAGGAGGCCTGCCCCCAGACTCTGCCCCCAGAGGAGTGCGCGAGGCTTCTGCCAGTCAGGAGTGCCCAGGCCCGAGGACCACAAGCAGGCGGCGCCAGGCCGTGCTCACCTCCTCGCCTCTCACGCACGCACGCCGGCATGGCGGAGTGCTGACTTGCACCCTCTTCCCTACGGGGGGGAGGGCTCTCAACCCTTGAAGTTCGACCAGATCCGCACCACAAGCCTGGGTTTAGGACCACAGGTCTTTCCGAGGACAGAGACGCTGGAGGAAGAAGGCTTGGCTGGTGGCAAAGGGAAAGGACTGGTCACCCGCAGAGTGGGGTGAGGCTTCGCGTTCTCAGCGGATCCCTTGGCGGCGTCCAGCGGACGCCGGGGACTGAGCAGCGGGGCCCCGACTGCCGGGGGTCCCAGAGGAGGGCACCCAGGGACCATGGGGGCGTGGGCTGGGCTTCCAGGCCTGCGGGTCCCAGAGTCACAGCCAGGCCCCGGAGGCGGGGAGGCCGAGGCCCGCTGGGGCCCCCAGGAAGGCGTGGGCCCCTCCCTGGTCCTTCACGTGCTCGTTCGCCGGTTCATTTACAGGTGGGCACTCAGACGCAGGCGCAGGTCGGGGGGTCTGCACAAAGCCGCAGGAGGCTGGGGTTTGCCCTGGGACACAGTCCTGCCTCCTGACTGCCCGCCCCAAGCTGGTGGGGGCCCGGCCCTGCCATGGGGGCTGAAGCCCCCTCCCTGCGATGAGGACATGGAGACCATGAGCAGAGCCCCGGGCCACTCCAACAGCAGAGGAGCCCCAGGCCTTCCCCACCCCGGCAGGGCCTCCACGGGGCGCCCAGGACCCCCGCCGAGGCCCCTCTGCTGGCCCTGCTGCAGCCTCTGGGGTCTCCCTCCAGGAAGGAGGTGCCCTGGGCAGTGGTGGGGGGGTGCGTGGACAGCAGGTGTCCAAGCTCCCCCCTTCATTTAATGCTCTGAATAAAACATTATTCACAGATTAACTGAGCAGTTTCAAGTGAACAACGATTTTCTTGTGCTTTAATTTTTCATGGGTACTTTTCTGAAGAGCAAGTGCATTGTTAATAATTGAGGGGAAGGAGACCTTGCTAATCTCACCGTGTTTCCATAAGGTCCTACACGCTCCCGCCCTTTTTGTCTAAAACAACTTCAGTCTTCCCCAAAGTTGCTTCCTTTGAGGTGAGTCCTGGTGGGGCAGGCGGTGGGGACAGGGACGTCCTTGTCCAGGAAGAAGCCTGGGAGCTGGTCTTGGGGTTCAAGAGCAGCTGGACGGTCGTGGGTCAGCCCCAGGGGTGGGGAGGTGCCTGGGGCAGCCAGAGCCAGTCCCAGACCCCGGGGCTGGCAGAGCAGTGGCCTGGGGACCAGCGGAGGATGGAGCCCTGTCCGAGGGGTGCGGAGGGCGGGGACACTTCCCTGAGAGGCCCCCTCCCTGACCCCGGCTGACACACGTCCCCAGAGCGTCCCGTGCCAGCCCTCAGCCGAGGAGGGTGGTTAGCGCTCAGTTCGCCCCGAGGGTGCTAACAGGCCCGCTGCACATGGTCAGCCTCGGAGCCAGTGGCGGCCGCTTCTGCTGTCAGCAGCGCGGCCAGGACCGCATGGGCTCCGCTTGGCTTCGACGCCTCGTCTCTGCTCCTGGGTCTGGGCTCCTCAGACCTGCTGCTCTCCTCCCCGGCTCCAGGTGGGCTACAGAGGGTCTGCAGGGAGCCGAGCGCCAGCCGTGTTCTTGACCTGTGAGTCAGGGCAGCAGCACTAGTGCTGCAGCCAGGGGGAGCCCAGCCTCACCGGTGGGGCCCTGGGGTGGAGCTGCTCGGGGCCCCAGGCCTGAAGGCTCGCTCCCGGGTGGAGTCCGGGGCTCTGAGCGAAGGCTGAGGCAGTGGTGTGGGCCCGCCGCCGGAATCCACCCTGCCAGCCGTGCCCTGCGTGGGGGTCTGCAATCAGGGCCCCCCAGCCCAGGCCGGCTTCCCCAGCACGCTCAGCCGTGGAGGCGGGGGCCCCATGCAGCTGGGAGTGTGGCCTGGGGCCTTGTGCCGGCCCTGGACGCTGGCCCGCGGTGCTGTGAACGCAGCCCAGGTGATCAAGCCGCTCCTCAGCCAAAGGGAGAGGGCGGGCACGGCCGCCTTCTGGCGGGCCCCTCTGGCAGGCCTCTCAGCCTCTGTCTTGGCCTTTTCCTCCTTGGCTGAGCCCATGTGTCCAGCAGACGGAGCTCCCGGATGGCGGTTCTGGGCCCTGGTTGAGGCTCTGCCCGTGCAGAGGGGGTGGCCAACCACGAATGGTGCTCACGGACGCGGCCTCCGAGCCGGACACGGGCACCCCCACCACCTCGTCCTGCCCGCCCCTCCTGGGTGCCCCTGCCCTGCCCTGGCCACAGGTCGGAGCCTGGTCCCCACTTGGCCTCTGCCCGCCCAGGCTGTCTGCTGGGCGGCCTCACACATTCTTCCTCTTTCTCTTCCCAAAGCATCCCCAAATAGCCGGGGATGACTTTCATGGGGTTAAATGACTGGAATCCTGATTTCCTCGTGATGGGGTTGAGCCATTCCCCATGTTTCCTGTGCAAAGTAACACAGGCTACGGAAACCCAGGCCAGGGTTGCAGCTGCTGAACTCGGAGGTGCTTGCAGCGTCACCACGCCTGTGCCTGAGTGGCCCCCAGAGCCCACGGTCAGCCCCAGAAAGGCAGTGAGTCGATCCCGTGGGATCGTGTGGGCGGGAAACAGGCATGTGGGCAGGAAGCAGCCCAGCCGGGCGGCTCCTGACATTTCAGGGGGCTCTCGACACTGGGGCGGGGGGCACTCGGGCTTGTTAATCCCCAAGAAGCATGACTCAACAAGCAGCTGGTGGCCCGTCTCCCCCAGCTCTCTGCATCTCCAGCTCATTGCCGTTGACAGGGCTACAAGGTGCATGGTCAGCCAAGCCCAGGGAGCTCACAAATGGCCGCGTGAACCTGAGGAGGGCACGGGGTCTCTGGGGAAGGCGCGGCGCGCGGGCTTCTCTAGATCCGAGTGAGAGGCGTGTGTACCTCGAGCCCCAGATACAGGCTCTGGAATGGGGCCTCTCTCTCAGATGTCTGGGAGCGCTTGGAATTTGGAGCCAGAAGACCCAGGTTCTACCCCAGGCTCTCATGCCCACCAGCTCTGTGACCTCACAAAACCCACTCAACACCGGGGCTCAGTTCCCTCATCTGTGAAATGGGAACAACACCCTTCACAGGATTGTCTCAAGGGTCAAATGAGATGGTCTGTGTCATTAGCAAACTGATGGCTGGGGGCAAATTCCATCGAGTCAGTGACACCATCCGACCAGCTCATCCTCTGCCTCCGTCTTCTCCTCCTTCCCGTTAGGGTGAGCTAAGCAATTTCCTATTTGCCGGACCTGGCCCTCCTTCCCAGCCCTTCTGGGGTCTCACACCTCCCCTTGAGTCTTAGCTGGAGGCGGGGCTCTGAACAGCAGTGCCTTTGCTTCCTCAGAATGTGGCTCGTTTCCTCTGGTCAGATGGTGGCGGTTTCCCGTCCCTTCCTCTAGTTAGTCAGACACTGTAATGGTTCCCCATCCCATCCACTAGTCAGATGGCGGTGGTTCCCCGTCCCTTCCTCTGGTCAGATGGTGTGATGGTTCCCCATCCCATCCTCTAGTCAGTCAGACACTGTGATGGTTCCCCGTCCCTTCCTCCGGTCAGATGATGTGATGGTTCCCCGTCCCTTCCTCTGGTCAGATGGCGGTGGTTCCCGGTCCCTTCCTCTGGTCAGATGGTGGTGGTTCCCCGTCCCTTCCTGTGGTCAGATGGTGTGATGGTTCCTGGTCCCTTCTTCTGGTTAGATGGTGTGATGGTTCCCATCCCTTCCTCTAGTTAGTCAGACACTGTGGTGGTTCCCCGTCCCTTCCTGTGGTCGGATGGCGGTGGTTCCCCGTCCCTTCCTGTGGTCGGATGGCGGTGGTTCCCCGTCCCTTCCTCTGGTTAGTTAGATGTTGTGGTGCCTCCCAGCCCCTTCTCTCATCACTTGGAGCTTGCTTGCTCCTGGGTTCCCCTCTCAGGTTAGGGCAGTCTTCTCTCAGCCCCATCCTGTCAGCCCTGGAATCTGAAACGGGGCCAGAATCTGCCAGTGAAAACACTCGCTCTGCAGCTCTGTCATCAGCTCCCTTCAGCTCTCAGGGAGTCCATGTGGGCGCCTCCACTCAGGACTGACACTCCAGACACGCAGGCGGAGGGAAGCAGGCTCAGCTTGTGACGGGAGTGGGTTCAGAGCCCCGTCTACAGCGGGCGGCGGTGGCCGGGGCGGGGTTCTGGGACCCCGTTGCTGGGCCTGCCCAGGTGTGGCTCTGGCCGCTCCCCAGGCAGACGTGGGCCCCAGAGACGGGGCACAGGCAGGCCCGCCGGACCTCCGGGATGCGGGAGCCCCTCCCAGGGGCACCACACCCCCCGCCCACACACTGGGCCAGCACCTGAGCTCGTCTGGAGGAGACGGGAGACGGCGGGACACCCCCACGGCTGTGCCCCCCACGTCCACTCCTCGTGTGGGCAGACATGTCCAGAGCCCAGCTTCTTGTACCTGTAGGTCAGAGTTTATGAACCTGCTTAATTCAGCTTTTAATTCTGTACAGGTTCAAATGACTAGCAATTGATTTTCAAAATGGATGCTTCCTTCTTATTTAGAGAGAAGGAAACAGGTCAGGTCCCCAGGGCAGCGTGGAGGGAAGGAAGGGGCACCTTATGTCTCAGCCAGAGATCAGACATGTCACCAAACTGGGGATTTGGGAGTCACTAGTCACCAGTTTGTGGCCAGTCACCAGTCCTGCAGCCTGTACTATTTTCAGTCCGTTTTAGATCAACCTTCCTGCTCCCTTGGGGACCATCAGGGACCCCTCCCCAATAAAATGCACCCATGGGAGTCACTTCTTGACACTTGGGAAGGTCTCACGGATGACAACCTAAATCTGCCTCACTCTGAAAGGTTATTATTCTCTCATTTCATCCCAATGGAGCAGGCCCCAACTGTTATTTGATACTGAAGACTGGAAAGTGTGGGCTAAACTTTTATGTGAAGCCTAGCAGTAAATTACAAAAGGAAACAATTCGTGGCCATCAGTGCTGTGAGAGGCCTTTGTCTTAACTGAAGAACCTTTCTCAGAGCCCATCTGCCACCCCACCGCCTCCCTTGGTTTCTAGGTGGGAGGGGAATAAGGAGAGCTTTGTACAGAAAGGAAACTCGGCAAGGAAACAACCTCGCGTGTTCTGCTATGGGGGATATTAACAAAACTGCTCTTAGGGCAAAGCCCTCCTCTTAGACCAGCTTAAGGCCGCAAGAAGGAGCCTCACAGGTGTGAGGAGAAGCAGGCTTGTTTACAGGGGGTATGGAATGAGAAAAGTCAAGTCTAAACTAGGGAGCGGAAACCCCAGTAGTTAAGCTTTAAGAGAAGATGATGCTGGCCTGGGAGCTTAGGTGACAAAGACTTCTCGGAATGGGAGCTCCAAGGAGGTGCCCACAGAGGGGAGGGTGGAGGGGCCTGACTACCCAGAGGAGGACAGGATGGACAGTGCAGGCAGGGGTCCCGGGAGAGCGGAGCGGACCCCAGCGTGGCAAGGGCACCCCCTGTGCAGCCTTCATCTTGGGGCCTCGAAGTATCCACCAGAGAGAAGTGACCCAACACATGCGGGTGGTCGCGGGAGGGGACAGGCAGGTGCAGACCTTCGCCCACAGCTCCCGGGGGCTCAGGCTCCAGGACCTCGGACCCCTGCTTGGCGGTGGGGATACCGCCTCCTGAGAAGGGGGCAGGGCCCTCTGGGGAGCACCTGCTCCACCAGGGCCTCATCCCTTCCCCCCCTCCCCCCTCCTCCTCCCACTCCCCCTCCTCCCTCCTTCCCCTTCCCCCCACTCCCCTCCCACTCCCTCTCCTCCCTCCCTACCTCCCACCTCCCCTCCCTGCTGCGCTCAGCCTTCTTCCCCAGCCGGGATTCCAGGCCCAGGCTGGGAGCAGAGCCAGCGAGCACGTGGGCGGCATCAGCTGTCTTCCGGCATCTGCCTCCTCCCCCCTCCCCCCCAGCCCTCCTCCTCTTCCCCTCCCCGAGGTCCCCTCCTCAGTGCCCCCTCCCCCACCTCACAAAGCTTGCAGACCCCCTTCTGCAGCGCCACCCCTCTGGCTGAAACTCCACCAAGGTGGCACCAAACTGTGTCCCTGCGTGACCCAAGCCCACTCCAGTCCTGCCCCTCCAGGGGAGCGCTCACAGCACAGCTGCCCTCCAACCTCTGAACCCCGGCACTAGGAGCGGCGGAGGTCAGAGTCCAGCCCCAACCTCCCTCCCGGCTCTAACCGCCTGGGGCCGTCAGGGTCCACGGCCCCTCCCGCCCTCCACACAGCCCCTGCCGGGAGGACCGAGCTCTCTGCAGGGGCGCCTGCCGGGGTTGCAGGAGCTTCCTCTGCTGGGCAGCTCCCGCCCCTCCTGCCCACTTGTCACCAGACGCATCCCTTAGGCCTGCAATGCCCTGCATGAGGTGCAGGCTTGATCCCTGGGTTAGAAGATCCCCTGGAGGAGGGCATGGTTCCCTACTCCAGTGTTCTGACCTGGAGACCCCGTGGACAGCGGAGCCTGGCGGGCTACAGCCCATGAGGTTGCCCAGAGTCGGACAGGACTGAGCACACAGCCCCTTAGACGTGCCGGGTCCTTGCACTTTTCCCTGAGAGGACAGGTCCGCAGTTGCCTAAAAGGCACGTCACGTCTCCCGGGTCCCTGGGGTCCCAGGGGCCAGGTTACCTGACTCCCCCCGCAATCTCTCACCTTCATCACTTATCACCTCTGGCCTCCTCACCAGGGAAGATCAAAGACCAAAAACGTGAATCCTGGAGATCTCTCCTCCCTGAAGGCTTCAAGGACGCAGGGTGTCGGGAGTGGGGAAACCTTGAGAAATCAACTAGTGCACAACCGACGGCTCACAGCCGGGGAGCTGAGGCCCAGATGGGCCTGAGAACCCAGAGACCACCCAGCGTGGTCCAGAGCCGAGGACATGGCCCCCCAGGCCACCCGGTGTGGGCCAGAGCTGAACACACGGCCCCCAAGATCACCCAGCGTGGGCCAGAGCCGAGGACATGGTGGGGTGTGGCTCCAGGACCCTCTCTGCATTGCCCCCCCCCCAGCTGCCTGCCCCCTCCTTGCCGCCCAGGCAGGGCAGCTGAGAAGCACAGAGTGTCTTCAGCCTCAGCAAGCAGAGCCAGGTTCTGATGTGGGCAGGCTTGGGCTGGTCGTGACTCCAGCGTCCAGCCCTGGGCAGCTGTCCTGTTGGACGGCCCGTCCCAGCTCCACCTGATCCCGGCATTGACTGCGTGCCCGGGATGGTGCTGCGTGACGGTTCTGGGCCCCTGCCTCCTTCTCCAGTGAACTGACCTGGAGACTGGCCGTCACCCCCGACCCTGAAGCTGGGGGACCGCGGGCTCCCAGGAAGAAGGTCTCTTACAAAGAAAGCGCCTCAGCTCTGCATACTCAGAGCCGCCCTGGACAGTGGGGACTGCTCTCCACCCTTGCCACCAGCCCCTCCCATCAGGAAGGCCAGGCCCCTCCGGAGGGAGGCCCACCGTCCCCCACATGCGGCCCAGGGGCCAGCCTTCTGCTGCTGCCCTTTCTTTTTCTGGATGCACTTCTCTGCCAGCACTGTGCTGACCACCCAGGGCCCCAGAGCTGCTGCTGGAGGAACCTCCCAGAGGGCAGGGGGACACGCACCCTGACTCGTCTCCACCCTCCTGCTCCACGTGTCTCTGGGCCAAACGATAGCAAAGGCGGCAGTCCCATCACCCCCTCCTCCAACCCTGCAGGCTTTACGCCAAGTCCAGAGCCAGTCAGGGACCTGGCTGGCTGGGGACAGACACGCGCCCGGCCGCGTGCAGTGCAGGGCGCAGAGGGCAGGATCCATGGTCAGTGGCTGAGCCAGGCCTGCAGGGGACTGGGCGCTGACCAGAGACGATGAGAAAGCCTGGTCCAAGGCATCCCTCCCGGGAGGCTCAGAACCAGCCCAAGGCCCCAGAGGCCCCTCTGAGAACACAGCCTCTGTCTCTGGGCAGTGGGGTGGTTGTGATGGTCGCTGCAGGGTCAGCCAGGTTCAGAGCTGGTTTTAGCCAAGTTACTTCGGCAGCAGAGACCTGAGATGGGGACGCGGGAATCCTGGCTTGCAGCTCACGTCCCAGCCTCAGGCCCTGAAGCCGAGATACTGTGGGGAATCCCGGGCCAGATGAGGGGAAGGCCAGTGCTCACCCCCAAGGATTGTCTGGGGAGCAGAGTCCCCCAAGGCCCACACGCCTCCTGGGTCCTCCTGTTCCACATCCAGGACCACGGCCTTCCATGCCCTCGGTGGGGAGACCCAGCCGACCCCAGTGCACGACTGGGGTCCCCAGTCGCCAGCTGCCTGCCCGGCGTCCAGAGCTCAGCCCCTGCCCTGCCCTGTAAGAGCCCAGGACTTCTCGGGCGCTTCACTTCGGCTTCCGTGAGAAGACCTCCCAGTCCCTGCAGCATGGGCATGGCCCCTTCTGACCTCCTGGCTCACCAGGCCACTTCAGCGTCAGTGTGTGGAGGCGCGGAGCCGAGGACAGCATCTGGGTGAGGGAGGGATACAGGGAGGAGGGGATGGAGAGGGTGATAGGGAAGAGGCCAGGCTGTCCTCTGTGACCTGTGACATGTAACCTTGTCCTGTGACCTATGACCTTGTCCTGTGAACTGTGACCTGCGACCTTGTGACCCGTGACCTTATTCTGTAACCTTGTCCGGTGACCTGTGACCAGTCAGCCTGCAATTTCCTGATGGCATCGCTCCTTCAGGTCTGACCTTGAAAGTTCCCCTTAGACACAAATCAGTTTCCCAGAGGAGAAAACAGTAATGGCCCAGAGACCCTCCCAGCAGACGTCGCTTTGTCCTCAAGCAGCCCCTCGAGGTGGCAGAACCTGGTGTCTCTTTCGCAGGAGAGCACCTGCTGCTGGTGACGGGGGCGAGGCCTGTACCACAGGGCCATGGGGGGTGGTGGCTGACCCACCTCGGAAGGGGCATCCGCACGGTCCTCAGACCCTCACGGGCGTCACCCGGCTGCAGCCAGGCCCCGGGAAGAGCCAGCAGCTGACTGTAGCTCGCGCCGGGGCCAGACGTGGGCTGGAGGCACAGAGCCCCGTCTGGGATGGGCCGCAGCTGGGGGCCTGGGTGGGCGGTGGGCGCGAAGCCAGGGGTGAAGACAAGGCTCCTCTCCCGCTGCTGTCTCCCCGGTCCAGCAGGAACGCTGGGCCGCGGCAGAGCCGGCCGGTGCCTACCAATGGCGGGGGGGCGGTGCGCTGCCCCTGCACAGAAGCTAGGTGGGCATTTCCCAGAGCTGAGACCCCAGGAGCAGGGCCACCCCCAACACTGAGACTATAGATGGGGCTGTGCGGCAGCTCAGGCAGAAGAGACACCGCGACCCAGCCTTCATCAGCCCTGTGGCGTCAAGTCCTGGCAGCGGTGCAGTCTGGGCCTCGCTGAGATCCAATGGGGGCTTATCACCATGCTCACCACTAATTTACAAGCTTTCCTCAGGTGGTAAAGCATCTGCCTGCAAGGAGGGAGATGGAGTTCAATCCCTGGGTTGTAAAGATCCCCTGGAGAAGGAAATGGCACCCCACTCCAGTACTCTTGCCTGGAGAATCCCATGGACAGAGGAGCCTGGTGGGCTACAGTCCATGGGGTCGCAGAGAGCTGGACACGGCTGAGCGACTTCACACACACACACACACGCACACACACACACTTATGAGCTAAAGCGATGGATCAAGCTTCAGGGGCCAGTAAGTAAGACACACAAATATTCTGACTTAAATGCTATGCCCAGACGTGAAGGACATTGCTGCAGCAATTTTCTCACCAGAACGCTCAGGAGCAAAGACACCAGACACCAGTGAGGGTGGAGGGAACCGAGTCTGCAGAGTTCAGCCTCCACTGGCCTGAGGCTGGGAAGCCCGGTTCTGGGCCCCACTGCCCACGTGCGGGGTCGGAGCCCTGCACCCAGCGGACGCCTCTCCAGGGCCAGGTCCACGAAGCCAGGACCCTCCCAGGCTGCAGCCAGAGACGTAGGGCGGGGTCCAGGGAGTTTCCCGGAGGCCGGGGAGCAGCTTCCGCCATCCCTGCCCAGCAGAGTGGCCACGTCAGCGGAGCGGTCATTGGCTCCTCCGCCCCTTTCCCAGATGGCGAGGGGATTGTTTTCCCTGTGGTTTTGTCTCCTCATCTGTGCAGTGGAGCCTGCGATGGCTGCAGTGACGAACATGCTTCCTGTCTGTGGTTCTCCAGGCCCTCGGGAATGGCTGGGCGATGCTGGTCACACAGCGCTGACAGCCAGGCGGCAGTGATTGGGCGGGACCTGGGGACTGAAGTGGCAGACACGGCGGCTGGCGTTGTGGGCATCTGGGTGCTCAGCGGCAGGGCCCTGCTGGGCTCGGATTACGGCCTGCAGGGGACACCCCGGCCAGCCCTGGGCAGCGGTCACAGCCCCGGAGGCCAGCAGGTTTCGTGTGAAGCTTGTCTGGAGACGCCGGTCCTCTTCCGCTTGCCCCTGGGGCGGAGGGCAGTGTGAGCAAGTGTGCCCTCCCCAGCGTGAGCCGCAGAGCGAGTGTGAGCAAGGCCTGCCCCATGCAGGCCCCGGGCTCCATCCCGGGGGGCACATCTGCAGGTCCTTTGAGCTGCGGGTTACGCCAGCGAATCCTAACTGCTTCAACACATCACTTGTTCTCTCAGTCTTCTCAGCATCTGTAAGATGGGGACAAAAAAGAGGCACAAATGGGAGTTTTTCTGAGACTTTAAATGGGACCAGCTGTTTAAAAGGTGCAGCCGGATATTTGTCAGACGCCAGTTGCTGAGGTGATAGAAACGGTCCCTGCATCTCTGAGATGCCCTCATCGTTATTGTCCTGCGGTGTCGGTGACCGGCCGGAGCCACATTCCAACACAGCTGCTGAGCCCGCCCGGCCCCCGAGTGTGTCTTACTGTCGCTTACATTCTTAGCTCCTGGTATTGGCTAGAGAGACTCGAGGCCACAGTAGAGGATGGGACAGGAACCAGGCAGGTCTACTGCTGCAGCAGGAGGAGCTCGGGGCAGGGCGGCCCTCCCGCAGAGGGTGGAGAGTGGGTGAGGGGCCCCGAGGCTGCAGCCCCAGCTCCGGGCTGGGCAGCTCAGGCGCAGCCCCAGGTTGAGCCAAACTCTCTTCCAATAAAGTCTCATTCAGGCAACAGGCTGGATCTGGCTGGGGGGCCACGGTTTGCTGGCCACCGGCCTGGGGTGTAAGGAGCCGTGGGGAGAGACGCATGATAGACCTCAGGTTCTTGCATCTTAAAATCCTCATCTTGAAAAGACATTCTTTGCAGACCAAATGTCCCACCAGCCTCCACTCACCACAGGCCTTCACTTCCTGCCCCAGGCCGCTGTTACTCTGCACAGGGGCTGGAGGACCAAATCGTGGTCAAACGGGGTTCCTGGGGGACGGAGCTTCGGGCTGCAGGTTGGCTAATATGGGGGGCGGGTGGGAGGGGGCAGGGGAAGGGAGCATCCCCCGGGGTCCCAGGGCAGGACAGGCGGACTGGGGTCAGTCCTGAGCCCTCCAGGAACCGGCGTCTCCAGCAGGCTTTTAACCTTGGCACGAAAAACGTGACTTGATGAGCACCAGAAACTGGCTCAACTCATTAGGTTTGTTCCTAACAGAAAACTCAAGCTGGGTGCGTGAGCCGGCTGCAGAGGGCCCCTGGTTCCAGATGTGAAAGAAAAGGCAGGGCTGTGTCCTGAAGCTGATGGTTGTTTTCTTCTTCACTACCTCACAGCAGAAGTGAGTCTTAGTCGTCTTCTCTTTTGTGGGGAGAACGTAGCTCTCCAGCCCCATGAGTCTCATTCTTCTCTGGAGGAGGAAGCTGTTGTTCAGACGCTCAGTCATGTCCAACTCTTGCAGCCCCACGGACTGCAGCACACCAGGTCTCCCTGTCCATCACCAACCCCCAGAGCTTGCTCAAACTCATGTCCATTGAGTCGGTGATGCCATCCAACCATCTCATCCTCTGTCGTCCCCTTCCCTTCCTGCCCTCAATCTTTCCCAGCATCAGGGTCTTTTCAAATGAGTCAGCTTTTTGCATCAGGTGGCCAAAGTATTGGAGCTTCAGCTTCAGCATCAGTCCTTCCAGTGAACACCCAGGACGATCTCCTTTAGGATGGACTGGTTGCATCTCCTTGCAGTCCAAGGGACTCTCAAGAGTCTTCTGCAACACCACAGTTCAAAAGCATCAATTCTTCGGAGCTCTGCCAGGGAATAGCACACTTGTAAGACTTTGTCGTCAGTAAGAACTGCATTGCAGAAGTGAGCAGGGCCTGCTCACCACGGACACACATGATGGCTACAGGCTCGGCTCCTTTAAGAGGTCGAGCCAGTGCTCCTCGGAGAGTTCCTTGTGGTCGGTGGAGTTTGGAGAGGCCAACCTTGTGAGACGCAGCAGGTGAGCAGAAGGTAAACGTCGCATCTGACCATATAGTCTGAGCAAACTTGTACAAGCCCACTTTTCGGAAGATGTATTTGTCCAGTAGCCCATTTAAGATCGATAAGGATGCTACGGTGTTTATCAAAGGAGTAAAGCATTAATGATTTTGTGTTGGTTGAGGCATTGGTTCTCTTTCTCGCCTACTGACATCAAGAACTCCCTCGTAAGGGGAGGGGCTGACCTCCTCGTCAGAGGCCTCCCCTCCCATCTCCAGAGAAGGAAAAGCAGAGAAGCAATCTTCAAAATCAGCTCACACATTTCCACAGGACTTGTTCTGGTCTGGAGAGCTGGCCCTCCCGGGGGGCAGGGGGTGACGATGGGACTCTGCCGGGAAACAGCAGTGTGGGGTGGGCACTCCCGCCCCTGGGTTACTCAGCTGAGGACAGGGCTGCGGCCCCCCGGGCCTTCCGCTGGGCGTCACCACCCCGGCTCCTCGCCACTGAGGCCCAGAGGCCGAGGGCTCCAGCCCCCAGACCTGCGTGTGGTCTGGCCTAGCCAGGCACCCAGAGGACGGTGCAGGCGGGCTTCCTGACCCACGGGAACCAACCCGCATGGGGGCGGAGGACCAGGTGTGTGTGCTGACCTTCCCAAAGCAGGAGCCAGGGTTGGTCAGCTCTACGTGATTGCAGACCCGCCTTGGGATCCCGCGCCTCTGGTCCTGATCATTTCCTCTAAAAGTGTTCCGTCAGCCGAGCTTGTGACGATGCAGATGGCACCCTGCAGAAAACCTAAACACCCTGGCCCTGAACTGGGAGAGGTGGGGTCCGAAGGGAACTTTTGAGACCATTTAGCCAATGTACCAAATTGATAGTTTCCTTTTTGCAAATGTGACAGAGCAATATGATAAAAAATCATTGCACCCAAATCTGGTCCTCTGAGACAACCTGGAGGGGTGGGATGGGAAGGGAGGCGGAAGGGGTTCAGGCCGGAGGGGACACGTGTGCCTATGGCCGATTCACATCAAGGCACGTCAAAACCATCGTGATATTGTAAAGTAATATCCAACTGCTGCTGCTGCTGCTGCTGAGTCGCTTCAGTCGTGTCCGACTCTGTGCAACCCCATAGATGGCAGCCCACCAGGCTCCCCCGTTCCTGGGATTCTCCAGGCAAGAACACTGGAGTAGGCTGCCATTGCCTTCTCCAGATCCTCCAACTACAATACATGAATTAATTTCTTTTTAAATTGCCAAAATAAACCTCTTTCTCAAAGTCACTCAATTGCATGCAGTTCTCTGTGACCCCAGGCAAGAATATTGGAGTGGGCTGCCATTCCCTTCTCCCGGGGATTTTACCAACCCAGGGGTGGAACCTGGGTCTCTGGCATAGCAGGCACACACTTTACCATTTGAGCCACCAGCCTAAGCAGCTCTTAGAATTAAAATTATGGCATAAGAATTCATATTGGCAGACTTTTCTTTTTTAATGCACACTACATAAAATAAGAATACGATACAACCTTTAGTGTCTTAGATTCAGTGAAATATGCTGAACAGAAACAGGTGGGTGAACAGAATCTGGTTCCTTTAGGGAATTCCCACAGGACAGTTGTACAAAGGTGTTTTCCCTTCTCTGATTGAGTTCGGGTTGGTTCCCCAATTTTTTTGTGTGATGATTAATCTTTGTGTCAGCTGTGGTGTCCATCAGTCAGTCAGATGCTAGTCCAGACGCCAGGGGGCTGTTGGGGAGATGTGATCAACGTTTACCATCAGTGGACCACAAAGAAGCAAGAGGTTATCATCTGTGACACGGGAGGGGCTGACCTAGTGAGCCGAGGCCTTCACAGAGGAAGGGTTCGGCTCTTGTCTGGGTTCCAACCTGACCTGTGGACTTGGGACTTACAGGCCCTGCAATCCTGCAAACCGGTCCCTTAAAAGAAATTTCTCCCTCTTGGTTCTTCTTCCCTGGAGAGCTCAGATGAACTCAATCTTCTAACACATAGTGGACAGACCTGAGCAGTGTGACCCCATGAAACAGGGGGCGCGTTAGAGGTCGGTGTGGAGGGACCATTTCTGTACCCACGGGCTGACTGTGCTCAGCGGCTTGTGCTGCAAACTCCATGCCTCCCCCTGGGGCCCTTGGTTAGGCAGCCCCACAGCAGACCTGTGTCTCCCCGAGTCACCCCATTGCCATGCGTCTGCCCCAGGCTTCAGGCAGCAGGCGCCCTCCTGGCTCACAGCCAGGGCCCAATCACAGCTGGTCTGTGGCGCATGTGACCCGGGAGGCCGAGTCTGTGTCCCGGGTGGCAGGCAGGGCTTCCTCGGGCAGCTGGCCATCCCAGGGCACTCAGCATCCCCAGCGCCAGCGACCCGGCTGTGCAAGGGCAGAGAGAATGCACACGCGAGCAGGATGGCCCGTCACTGTCAACCATGTCTTATTGCCTTGGTGACTAGCTGACAGCTCGTTAGAATCCACGAGGCGGGCACCGGACATGGTGTGTTGAGTGGCAGCCGCCGGAGAGCTGCGGGGCGGCACCCGTGGGCTCCCGTCCTGGACGCCCGCCTGCTCACCCGCAGTGCATCCCCCGTCCAGCACTCCAGACGCCCCCGTCACATCGAGGGCCCAGCCTCCGTGGCCACGGGCAGGACCCTGAGGGCCGAGGGGGGGACACTGCCGGCTGGAGGCTGGGAGCCTGCCTCTCCCGGGGCCTCCGTGACGGAGGCAGAGGCAGAAAGACTTGACCTTCTGAGCCCAGCGGGGGCGGCTGCAGTGATGGGGGCAGGAAGCGGGAGATGCCCTCCGAGGAGGCGGCTCCACGCATTCCCCGCTCATCCCCGGGGCCCTGTGTCTGCCCAGGGAGGCGGCTGGCCCCCCACCCGGATGCCCAGCGGCTGAGGGCTAAGGCTGCGGCCCCGCAGCCCTCCACCCCGGCCTTGCTCAGCAGCGCAGCTGAGCCCCGGGCGGTTTAGGGCCGAGCTTCAGCCCAGGGTCTCCTAGACCTGCCGCCTTCTGCTCCGCATCCCCGAGTCCCGTGAATAGCTCACGGGCGGGCATGGACGCGGCCCCACCTTCTCAGATGTCTCTCCACGTCCAGTCGCGGCTCACACTGGTCACAGGCAAGGAGAGTCCAGGAGGGTCTGAGGACTCACCACCCGGGCCCCGTCCACATGGGGCACAGCACCTGGGAGCTCGGTCCTCCTCTGCTCCCAGCGGCGAGGGGCGGGGGGCCCGGCATCTCAGGCTCCTAGCCAGCTGGGTCTCCAGGGTTCCGTGCCCACCCCGGACCTCCCCAGTCCTCTAGACCAGCAACCTGCAAGACGGGAGACAACGCACTCCAGGAACTCACGTGGAGTGGCCGCGCCTCAGCCTCACGAATCAATCAGGCACTGTCAGGAGGAGGCCAGGAGCGCAACAGATGTCCCCGGAGACAACAAACAGAGGCTCCTCAGCCGCCGACACGTGCCTCTTGATCCACCTGCAGCACAGACAGGCTGGGCGCCCCCAGGCCCTGGGGCAGAAGGTCTCCAGCTCTCTCTGGAGCGGGGAGACGGCCCTCGGGCCCGAGGGTAGCCCCTTGCTCTGCAGAGACCACAGCGCGGCTGCACCACGGGCCTTACCTGAGCTGGAGGGAAGGGGCGGAGGCCTTCTGTTCGCTCAGGGCCTCTGAGGCTGGTTGAAGAGGCAGCCACGGGGAGGCCCAAGTGCCGGGTGAGGCAGGGACGTGGTCCAGCCAGGCCGGGGGGCTGCGGGTGAGCTTTGCTGTGAGAGCAGAATGGCCCTCCGACCCACGCCCAGGGGGTCACTGAAGGCGGAAGCGATCGTCTGCACGGGGCTCCCAGGAATATGCGGGGCTCTCGTGAGTCAGTGACAGCACAGGACACCAGGTGCATGCCCAGCCTGGACAGTCACGTCCTGGAAACAGCACCCCTGTTCTTCAAGCCTAGGCCTGAAGGTTGCAGGCGCATGAGGACCTAGGGCGTCTCCCACAGCAGATCAGAGAGCAGCTGTCACCTTGTGCAGAGCTGGGTCAGCCCACCCGAGGCCCCCGGCCATTGCATGGATCTCGTCCCAGAAGCCAATGGAGGAGAGCCACAGTGGGCAGCCTGGACCCACCAGAGGATGGGTGTTCAGCATCCATGCCCGGACCATGCCCTGCAGTGCCCCTGCCCACAGCCCCATTCCCTGCACCTCTCCCTGGCCCGGCTCGTGGTGCCAAAACGCCTCTCAGGCCCTGAGTCACTCCTTCAAATCAACAACGCTGACTTACACCCACTTTACAGATGAAGAAATTGAGGCCCGGAGGGGGTAAGTGTCTTGGTTGAAGTCACACAACAAGTAAGGGTCAGAGCTGGGCTCTAAACTCATGGAGGCCGACTCCAGAGCCCACCAAATTGTTTTTATTTCCCAGGGCCTGCATTCCTCTGGAAGGGCTGGCTCTTCCATTATCACCATGTGTGATAAAGCCCAGCATCAGCAGGGCTTTCACAGAAAGCAAGCCCTCGTAGCCCAGCCCAGCAAGTCAGAGCTGGTCCCGACTGTGCCTCCGCTCAGCCCATCGCTGAGAGGTGTGTGTGCTTCCCCACCGGTTGGTTAACGCCTGCCACTGAAGCCTGTGCACCCCGCCCACCCCAGCACCTCCCTAGGACCCCCGGGTCCCCCACCCAGCAGCTGACAGGAGACTCACACCCCACGGCCTGCATTGCTAACCTGGCATGTGAGGCCTCTTGTGGAGGGTGGTGTCCAGGGGGCGTAGCTGCTTGTCCCTTCTGAGTGAACGGGCCAGACTGTGCGTGGCCCCAGAAGTGGCCTGAGGCGGGTCCAACCCGCGGCCTGCAATTCAGCCCTGGGAGAGGACGTGGCCCAGGGAGCTGGCTCTGCCTCGAGTCCCCGCTGTCCCCTGGCAGGCACTCCCGTGGACGCTGTAAACGTGGGACCTTCAGGGCTGGTGACAACTTTGATGGGCTGCACTAAAAATTCTGTAAAGATGCTTAAGATTTAACAAGGCTGGCTGCCTAACTGCTTCTTTTTATGTGTCTATAAAAGCGATATAATCAAAGCAGAGCCTCGGATGATCAATCTGCCTGCGGTCAGCGGGGATCCCAGGGCAGGACCACTGTCTGGTGGAGGTGTCGCCAGAGGGCTGGAGCCAGAGCTGGCCCATGGGAAGGATATGAGGCTGGAGGATGGGTGGGGGCCTGAGGTCGCAGGTGACTCCGGGGGGTGGCCAGGGGAACAGAGCCCACGGGACCACAGGAGGGTTGGGAGGTGATAAGCTCGGTGTTGGACACCAAGCACTGAGTGTGCAGGCAGCCTGGCCCCTCAGGGGAGAGGAGTGACCTCTGTCCTTGGTGGGCAGGGCCCGCATGGCTGCCAGGGACCCTCAGAGCCTGAAACCGCAGGGGACGAGCCCCCTGCAGGAACGTGGGGAACAGACTTCACCGGGCAGGCCCCCCAAGACAGACAGGGAAGGGGAGACACAGGGAGTCTGCGAGCTTCAAGCTCCACCTGCCCTGGGCCCCCCAGGACGGCACTGCCCCCCAGAGCACTGTGGGGCCTCCACAGACTCTGCAGAGTCCACTGTTGGATGGCGAAGGCAGAGCGACCCTCGGGAGATAGATCCAGCTTCCCTGAGTCCCTGTGCCGGGGCAGCAAGGCCCGCCTGAGGGTGGGCGCGGGGCTGGCCCCATCCTGGGTGGGCAGCTTCCTCCTGGCCTGCAGGCCCTGGGTTCTGACCTTGAGGCGGGGCAGGGATCCGCCTATGAAGGGCTCTCTGCCTCTGTTTCTTTCCCACCCTTTCCTTAGACCCACCGAGAGTCAGCACCCCTCCACTCACCACCGGGGGAGAAGGAGGGATCCCCACAGCAAGACATGAAGCGGGGGTTACACACGGGGGCCCCTCTGCCCTGGGACAGCGGCATGAATCTCTCCCCGAGGGCTCACTGCCCCGGATAGTGAGGCTCCGGTGGGAGTGTGAGAACTCGGCAGGAAGGACATGGGTGTCGGGATCACCCAGGAAACAGCGACTTTCTTGGGTCGAGCAGAGAGGCGGGCACACACCCAGCCCTCCCATCTTCCAGACGCTTCCCATCCGCCCATCAGCCATGACCCCCCAGAGCATGGCCTCCAAGGGCCGACCCTGGAGTCAGACGGTTCACGGTGGCGCGTCAGCTCACCAGTGTGTGCAAACGGCAACACAAGCCTCGGAGAAAGTGCAGACAGAGACTTGATCCCATTCATCTCTGGACGACCTGAGGGGCCGCTGGAACCCCGAGGGCTGGCTCAGGCCAAGACTTTGGGCTCCTGAGGCTGCAGGGTGTGGACCTCCTAGCCCACATGCTTGGGGAAACCCACCCCCAGCTGGCCCCCGACCCCCTGCCCCAGGCTCACAGCACAGGCGCGGGCCCGCCACCAAGGGCAGGCTGCGGTTTTCCATGCTTGCTGGGATCATGGAGGTGGCTCAGAACGGCCGGTAGAATGGTCCCCACGCTGCCTTGCTTCCCCGGAACACGGTCCAAGGCTGCCCAGCAGGATCCCAGAGAGGGACTTCGGGGGCTCCACCATGCTGAAGCGACCTTTGGGGAAGCAGACGCCAGGAGCTCACGTGGGCTTTCCAGGAAGCAAGACTTGCGTGGCCCGGAACCCAGTGGAGGGGCTGGAATGAGCAGGGGGCTGGCCTGAGGGACCCAGAGATTTTGCACAGCCTCGGAAGAGGGGGAGGCCACGGAGCTCAGTCCCCCTGAGACAGCCTACTCAGCCGGGTCCCTCCTGGGTCAGGGGCACAGCACCTTCCGAAACCTGGCTTGGAGTCAGCCTGGCCTGAGAAGGAGCAGGGCCAGCTCCACTGGGAGTCCCGGACTCCGCCCAAACACACACGGACGTGGTCAAATCACGTCCCTCCAGGCGGCAGTGTGGGAGAAGAAGCCGTGTGCATCGCGGAGCCCGCCCTGCCCTGTGCCCCCCCCAGGCAGCTCGCCTCCTGGACAGATCGGGCCTCCCCTCCGGCCCGCTGCTGAATGCGCCACCCCCTCTGCCTAAGGCCTGCCCCAGGGCCTTAAATAGCTGTCCCGCAGCAAGGCTCTCTGCCAGGACAGGGGGACCCAGGCCATCACCCAAGCGCTTTCCTGAGAGCCAGGGCTGGCGGTCAGCAGCAGCCGGGGTCGGGACCGCCCTCAGCCAGGGCTGGCGGGCTCAGCGGCAGTGGGCCCGGGACCACCCTCACCTTTGCCCGCAACCAGGCCCACAGCTGAGGGCCCAGGACTCAGGCTAGGGGCTGTCCCCACTATCAGCGTTTTCTTGGCTGTGACGCCTCAGGGACTTTAAAAATAAGTCGTCTGTGTCTCTCTTCTCTCTGAGAATCTTGGGATCAAAAGGAGAGCTTCATTCGGGAGAAAGGACATGCGACAGGACCGTCAGGACAACCATAGTCTTGGCACACGGCCCTGAATCTGGGAGCTTGTTTTGCTTTCCTTCTCTCCCCAAGATGTCTGGTGGAAGGGCTGTGAGCACAGCCTGCTCCGCGCGCCGAGATGTTCGCATGGTGGGACGCCCGAGCCCCTGGCTCCGAGTGTCACACAAACCACCGGGGGGGCCAGGCACAGAGCCCAGATGGTCTTCGCAGGCAGCTCAGGTGTGTTTCATACTCCTGAGAGGGCTCCCCGCTCCCGAGAACGGCTCCGGCCCCGGGAGCTCCTGGACCCTCGTCTCCACAGCAGAACACACACCTGGGTGAGAGGGAAGAAAACGGAAGCACACCCAGGCTGGCTCCCCGCAAAGGCCCCGGGCGTGACTCCTGACAGAGCTGATGTCCTGCAGGGAGCTTGTGCAAACACCCGTCCATGGAGGCGCTGCACGCCAGCCAGAGCCCTGACTCCCCGACACGGCCGGGTCCGCACCCGCCCCGTGCACAGGGGGCAGCCCCAGTGGGTCCTCCCGGCCAGACGAGACGTGGGCCAGGCCCCGCCTCTCCCCGACGGCTCTGTGCCCCTAGAACAGAGTGCTAGTCCTGGTGCCGTCCACACAGACCGCCGCTGACTGTGTCTCCTGTTCCTTCAGCACCTGTTTCGGGTACAGTGCTTCCTACTCAACACAGGGGAGGCACTGCATGCAGCTAACCTATAACCTCAGACGCATCGAACAGTCCTCAGATGTTCCCGGGCTGACTCAGCATTCATCACACCATCACTCAGCTGGGCACCCTCGGAAATGCAGAGCTAAGTCAGATATACTTGCTGGCCTTGCTGGGGGTTCATTCTGGTGAATGAGCATGCATTGTGATTCACAAAAAACTAGAGGGGAAGCCCAGGGCAGGGGGGCTGGTGAGCTGGGCCTGGGAGAGCCGCTGGGGGCCCGGGGAGAGCACAGCAGTAACAGATACCCAGGAAGAAGGGCAGAAGGTGGCGGAGGTCAAACGCATGTTCCGAGAGCAGATGCCACACAGGGCGGAGAAAAACGCCTGTTTGAGTTGGGGTGGTCAGGAAAGACCACTCAGCCTCACAGAGAAGAGAGGCTTCTCCCAGGACCCTCGAAACAAGTTGGCTTCCCGGTGTGGCTGGAGAAAGGGGAGGGAACTCCCGCCGGGGGACAAGCCAGAGGCCACGTGCCAGGACAGCTGGACGCAGAACATGGCCACTCGGGCAACGGGCCGCCGTGGACGCCAGACCCTAGGGAGCGGCTGCCAGAGGAGACCCCCATCAGAGGGGCCTGGGCTGCAGGGCGCCCAGGAGAGGGTCCCTCTCCTTCGCTGGAGGCTCTGGGCACTTTTGAACAGGCAACATGCTTGGGAGCCCAGGAGTCCACCTCCAGCTGGGGGTCATTTGCTCATGAAATGAGGTGAAAACAATATCTCCTTTCTGTTCACTTGCATCTGATTTCCAGGCACGATTCACATTTTTGATACAGCACCTTCTCAGTTATTAGTATTTCAAACTGCCCTTGATGATCTTTGCCTCTTTTCCTATTGGGGTTTTAGTCACTTTTTAACCGGTGTCGGCATAATTCACTCTTTGGTTTTGGAAGCTGTGACTTTTCTGTTACTTTTGCCTTTTCATCATAGATCCTTTTGAGGTACAGGATTTCCTAAGAATGTAATCAAATCCATAGTTATTTATTCCACACTCACTTCTATACCGAGGGTACCATTTTTCATTTAGAGGTAAACGCTGACTTAAACTTTCTTCTCATATCAATATGGTCTGATATTTCCCATTAACATACATCATTTTTGGTCTGTGGTAAAAACTGAGATTCTAAACTACCTATTTTTTCCAGCAGTGCTTACTCCATCGCCCATGCCCTTCCACACGGAGGTTCCAAACCTCTGATATTAAAGAGGCCCCTCATCCGGGTGATCCCCCAGTCACTGACACAGGCGAGAACAGCTCCTCAGGACCCAGCAGGAGGTGGAGACAGTCCAGGAGTGTCTGTGTGAGGATCAGACCAGCGGTGGGGTGAGGCCAGCTCGCGGGAAAGAAATGAGAGTCGAGATGAGACTCACAGGAGCGTCTCCGGTCCCTCCAAGGCCAGGGTTGTTGGAACCTGCATCCCAAGAGATCACAGGAAGGGTCTGCGAACATGGGGTGTCCAGTCGCCCCCACTATCTCCACGTGTTCCCCATCTGCTCCCCTCGCCCCCAGCTCAGCCAGCTGAGCCCACGGCCACAAATCCCAGCACACGCCATGGGGTCCCACACTCCCTCAGGCTGGGGCGTGAGGACAGGCTTGGGGACTGCACGCTCCCCTCGGCTTTCTCCCTGCGGGGTCCAGGCTGCCCTCTGGGAAGTAGGATTCCCGTGACCTCAGATTCCTCGGAGGAACTGGCACTCTGACCCCTCCCAGTCCCAGTCCGCACCCGAGGGCAGGTGAATCTGATCCAGCCGGGCAGCAGGATGGCAGAGTCTGAGGCCTGCCCCATAGGAGCTCCCAGCCCCTCTGCAGCCCGCACGGAGATGGGGGACAGCGACCCAGCCAGAGGAGAAGGAGGCGAAGCTCAGCACAACAGTTGCAGACACGACAACAAATGAACAGCTGCTTTGAGCCACATCAAGGAGACCGATGTGACCTCTGAAGAGAGAAAAGTGCTATCTTGTGAGTGTGTGTGCATGGGTGTGTGCGTGTGTACATGCATTTCTGTGCATGTGTACGTTGGCAGGGTGGTGCCTTCAGGCAGCTGCAGTTGTGACCACAGCACTGACCGCGTCCCAGGAACAACTTGCTGGAGGAGGACCACACCAGGCTCATGCGTGCGCACACACGTGTACACACATACAGATACACAGACACACAGAGACACACAGAGACACACACACAGACACAGAGACACACACAGACACACACGCGTGCACACACACACAGACACACAGACACACAGAGACACACACATGTGCACACACACAGACACACACGCGTGCACACACACAGACAGACACACAGACACAGACACACACACGTGCACACACACAGACTCAGACACACACGTCTGCACACACACACACAGACACACACGTGTGCACACACACAGAGACACACACAGAGAGACACACACACAGACAGACACACACAGAGACACACACACAGAGAGACACACACACACGTGCATGCACACAAAGACACAGACACACACAGACACACACAGAAACACACACAGACACACACGCATGTGCACACACACAGAGAGACACACAGACACACAGACACACACAGAGACACCCATGCATGCACACACACAGACACACACAGACACACATGCGTGCACGCACACACACACAGAAACACACACACACGCACACACACAGACACACAGAGACACACAGACACACAGATACACAGACACACACAGACACACACACAGACACACACGCGTGTGCACACCCACACAGAGACACACACACACACAGACACACAGAGACACACACATGTGCACACACACAGACACACAGACACACACAGAGACACAGACACACACATGTGTGCGTGCACACACACAGAGACACACACACACATGTGCGCGTGCACACACACAGAGACACACACGTGCACGTGCACACTCATACAGAGACACAGACACACACATGTGCGCGTACACACACACACACACACACACACACACACACTCTGCTGGTCCCGACTGCAGAGGAGACACGTGGCCTCTGAGAGGCAAAGCCCTTGGGCGGAAACGCGTCCCCCGGTGTGTAGCAGGCAGACGCTGGGCTGGGCAGCAGGAAGCAGTGATCCACAGTGAGGCTCCTGGGCCCTCCCAAGACCAGACTCACCGCGGGGAGTCCCTCCCACAGACGTGGAGGGGGAGCCCAGGGACGCCGGCTCTCAGAGCCTCCATCAGCTGCCACTGCACCCTCTGTGCAGACCCCCGGGTAAGAGCCCCACCCGTCTTTCAGGTCCGCTGTGTGCGGGCCGGGCCCACTCCTGCCCTGGCCGAGGTGCAGGCGCCGCTCGGGCCCGCCTCGGAGGAGCCCGCCGCCCCACCGGCCCCATCCCCGTGCCCAGAGCAGAGACTGGGGCCCCACCAGGCTCGGGGGACTGGGTCTCAGACACAGGCTGGGCGGACAGGCCAGCGGGGAGCAGACCTCGTCGCCTCCACCCAGCGGAGGCCTCCGCCCGCAGTGGTCCTGAGTGCGGCCACCATCACCCCGCGCCCCGGGTGAGTGTCCCAGTGATGAGGACGTGATGCGGCGTTCCGAGGCCACGTGAGGTGTGCTTCCATCCGTTGACAGGACTGTTTCTCCTGGGTGGAGTCCAGGAGGCCGGACTGAGGTGGGCCTGATGACCACTTCCTGGGGCCCGGGGGACACAGGCAGCAGGGCTGCGTCCCCCTGGCCACCCAGCCCCAGGCGCCGGGGCCCCAGACCCGCCCCTGGAGCACCCAGCTCTGCCTCTGGGCTGCAGACGGTGGGTCCAGGCTGGTCAGCCATCCTGCACACAGGGCGTGCCGAGCGCTGCACTTCCTGTCCGTCCGTGTCTCCGTGCATTTGGGAGGTGTCCACATCAACCACATCCGTACATGAGGTTTCCATGTACGTCCTGACGACAGGACCTGTCGGACAGAGCGAGGTGCCCAGGTTCTTTCCAGGCTGGCGTGGAGGGCATCTCCATCTCCGGGCAAAGGCCGTCCTCTCTCCAGCCTGAGGGATGCGGGATGCAGCGGAGAGAAGACAAGCTCCCGCCCCCAGCATCACCCAGCCAGCGGGGAGGGGAGGGAAGTGTCGCCTGAGCCACCTAGGACTCAGCCAGCTTTTCCAAGCTCCAGATTCAAGCTTTCCGGCAAAGCAAGGAAGCTTCCTGCTCCTTCTCTGTGTAGAGTGTCTCCATCTGCTTTCTCCTCCTGGAGCTCCTCCTGTTTACACACAAAGGCTCCAGGCTCCAGCCCCTGCGTATCCTTCTTCCTTTCCCTCCTGATGAGGTCCTTCTGCATTGTTTCTTCCCCGTTCAGGGGCCCTGATGTCTTCCTCGGGAGCTGCCGCCTGCCCTGAATCTTGCAACGTGGGACACAAGGCTTTCTCTTCCAGAGGCCCCCGTATGCCCTGGGGGAGCCACCTGCCTGCTCGGGCACCCTAGCTGTTCCCCCCTTGGAGTTTCCACTTTCCGGCACTTCCCCAAACCTACCTTGCGGGGCCTTTCAAGCTGTCGAGGTCCCTTGAGAGGCAGCAAACTCCATGAGCCTGGGGGTGTGCCACTGGCCCCTTTGGCCAAAAGGCAGACCCCACCCTGCCCCAGGGCCGTGAGCCCTCAGCAGAAAGGCACCCCCTGCCCCTGCCCCAGGGCCATGAGCCCTCAGCAGAAAGGCAGACCCCAGCCAGCTCTGGAGCGCCTCTGGGCCCAGGGAAACCGGCTATAGCCAGCAGCCTCTTCAGGTCCTCCGTGGAAAGTCTAACATTCACCTCAAACTTCACGATCAAAAGAGAACGCGTGGTTTTCCTGAGAAACCTGGTTCTCCCTGTCTTCCCCTGTCTCTCTGACCCACAGGCCTCCTTCCGCTCAGATCTCACAAAGACCCTCTCCGCCCTTCCTGGTCAAGGGCTAGGAGGACTGGGCTTACCTGCTGTGAAGCTAATTCTCATTCTAATTAGTCCATCTCCCAGATAGAATTAGAAACTGGGTGATGATTTAAAAAACACAATCTATTTAGTCCAACCACCCCCATGTGCCAGCTCCATCTGATAATGGAGAATTCGCCCCTCAGGCTCTGAGCTGACAGGAGCCATTATCCACACCGAGTTAGTCTGACAGGATGAGGGAGCTGGTGGGCAGGGGCCTGCCTTCAGCCCCAGAGGCACCCAGGCAGGGCTGGGAGGCAGGAAGGGCAGGGAGGCCAGGCCCAGCTTCTGCCCAGGGAGGAGCGCCTGGCCACAGCAGGACACTTGTCCCTGGGAGGTCAGACCACGAGACAGGGCCAGGTCAGGACTCCACTCCCCCGGGCCTCCAGTTCTTCATGCACAATTGGGGGCTGACGAGACCAGCTCCTGGGGTTCACCTAGGAATAAACAAACCCTAACATAAACCTCATTCATTCATTCACTTTTAATAAACATTTATAATATCTGATATTTGTCAGGCATGTATCATGTACCAAACATTGTGCCAGGTAAAAGAGCTGATTTAATGAGCAAGACACAGTATTCTCCTGTAGAATTCATGTGAAATTATACACCACTGGCCAAATGAATAGTGGAAGTGGTAATGATGATAATGATGGTAGAGATGGTGGAGATGGTGGTGATGGTGGAGATGGTGCTGATGGTGGTGATGGTGGAGATGGTGGTGATGGTAGAGATGGTGGTGATGGTGCTGATGGTGGTGATGGTGGTAATGATGGTGATGCTGTGATGGTGGAGATGGTGGTGATGGTGGAGATGTGGTGATGGTGGTGAAGGTGGAGATGATGGTGATGGTGGCGAAGGTGGAGATGGTGGTGATGGTAGAGATGGTGCTCATGGTGGTGATGGTGGAGATGGTGCTCATGGTGGTGATGGTGGTAAAGGTGGAGATGGTAGTGATGGTAGAGATGGTGCTGATGGTGGTGATGGTGGAGATGGTGCTGATGGTGGTGATGGTGGTAAAAGTGGAGATGGTGGTGACAGTAGAGATGGCAGTGATGGTGGAGATGGTGCTGATGGTGGTGATGGTGGTAAAGGTGGAGATGGTGGAGATGGTGCTGATGGTGGTGATGGTGGTAAAGGTGGAGATGGTGGAGATGGTGGTGATGGTGGTAAAGGTGGAGATGGCGGTGATGGTGGTGATGGTGGAGATGGTGGTGATGGTGGTGATGGTGGAGATGGTGGTGATGGTGGAGATGGTAGAGATGGTGGAGATGGTGGTGACGGTGGAGATGGTGGTGACGGTGGTGACGGTGGAGATGGTGGTGACGGTGTTGATGATGGAGATGGTGGAGATGGTGGTGATGATGGAAATGGTGGAGATGGTGGTGATGGTGTTGATGATGGAAATGGTGGAGATGTTGGTGATGGTGGAAACAGTGGTGATGATGGAAATGGTGGAGATGGTGGTGACGGTGGAGGTGGTGGGGATGGTGGACATGGTGGAGATAGTGGAGAAGGTGGAGATGGTGGTGACGGTGTTGATGATGGAGATGGTGGAGATGGTGGAGATGGTGGTGATGGTGGTGATGGTGGAAACAGTGGTGATGATGGAAATGGTGGAGATGGTGGTGATAGTGGAGATGGTGGTGATGGTGGTGATGATGGAAATGGTGGAGACGGTGGAGATGGTGGGGATGGTGGACATGGTGGAGATAGTGGAGAAGGTGGAGATGGTGCTGATGGTAGAGACGGTGGTGATGGTGGACATGGTGGAGATGGTGGTGATGGTGGTGATGGTGTTGATGATGGAAATGATGGAGATGGTGGTGATGGTGGAGATGAGGACAATGCAGATGGAGCAGGCAGTCACCCTGGAAGATGCTGCTGTCCAGTGCCTTTTCGATGTGCAGTGAAAGATTGATCCTTGCACCGCTCATCTTGGCTATGAGCTAAGAGAGATTAAAATGCTTTGGTAGGAAACAAACAATATACATATTTTATGAAATACATTTCTCTGCCTATTTAATTGTGGGATCTTCAATAGAGGCAGAAAGATTCACTGCTAACCACTGGCATGAATGAATAGGATTTCAGCCTTCTGTCTCAGGAGGCCTCCTGACCTCTGGCTCCTGGGGCCTGCTGCAGGGAGACGAGTGGTTTCGCGATGTGGTCTTGGCAGCTTTCTTTCCTCTGTGCGCCTCTGTGGGCCCAGGTGTAAAAGTAAAATGTCCACCTTTTACTGCTGAAGGCTTCTGAAGCCTGGTTTATCACAAGTGAGACTGATGAAATCCACAAGATGATAGCTGCTCCTCACCAGGAAATAAGGAGAAATGTCCTGAGGAATGGTCATCCCAGCATCTCTAGTGATCCTCCCAGAAGCCCTCTCATTGCCAGGACATGTCCATCCTTCCCCTGAACTCTTAATCCACAGTGTAGGCATCCCAGTCCCTCTCAAAAAGTGCTGCTGCTAAGTCGCATCAGTCGTGTCCGACTCTGTGTGACTCCATAGACGGCAGCCCACCAGGCTTCCCCATCCCTGGGATTCTCCAGGCAAGGACACTGGAGTGGGTTGCCATTTCCTTCTCCAATGCATGAAAGTGAAAAGTGAAAGTGAAGTCCCTCAGTCGTGTGGGACTCCTAGCGACCCCATGGACTGTAGCCCACCAGGCTCCTCCATCCATGGGATTTTCCAGGCAAGAGTACTGGGGTGGGGTGCCATCGCCTTCTCCGCAAAAAGTGCTAGGAGCTCTCAAGGTGGTTTCATGTTGGGACCTGCTGGGCTTCCACACAGCAGTCATGGAGCTCTGCCAGGTGGTGTGTGGGTGGCCACAGGGGGCCAGGCAGACAGTCAGCACCGATAGGCAGAAGCTAGTTCACAAGGTAGGTTTCCAGCAGCCTGAGGGCCCACTGGGGAGCTCTTTCCTGGCTCTCGGAACTGAGCCATGGGCCAGGAGGGCACCGACGCACAGAGGGGGCCGGAACCTGACGAGAACCACTTCCCACCTCTGGCAGCGTGCCGCCCACTTCACAGAAGTGCCCTTGTCCTGTTTTGAGCCTCTTTAATGGCTCCCTTCCCCGCTGGACCGTAAGCTCATGGAGGGCAAGTCAGCAAGCTGCCCGGAGACCAGCGGATGCCCCGTAAATGGCAGCTGGACGAGTGAACAAATGAGGGTGGTTTTTTCAAAGGGAAGAAGGGAAAGGAGAGAACACTTGAGCCACGGGTCTTTGGAGCGCTCTAATCCTGGGAGCTCAAGGACTCGAGATGCTGCCCAGTTGGCAGAAGTGGCCACTCCCCTCCCTCCATTCACAGCAAATGCCAGCAGAGTCCCGAGGCATGCGGGAGTCCCTGCTCAACCCACTCAGCTTGGGCTCCACACCGCATCCTGATCGGCTGACAGGCCGCCCTGAGCCCCTCCACCTCGGCAGGAATGTGGGCCCAGCCCTCCCCTGGGGCTCCCCAGGTGCCTCAGCTGGTAAAGAATGCACCTGCAATGCAGGAGACCCCAGCTCATTCCTGGGTCGGGAAAGTCCCCTGGGGAAGGGAAAGGCTACCCACTCCAGAGTTCTGGCCTGGAGAATTCATGGAGTATAGACCATGGGGTCG